ATACATATTTGTGACATGATGTACCTTGTGTGTGTGAAGTTTGAACTCGATCAATCCAAGCATGTCTCAGATACGGATCCAGAACTGAATTCTTTAAAACAAAATGGCCGCCAGTCGGCCATTTCGAACCCGATCCAAAAAAACAATGACGTGCATCAAGGTCCTATTATGTTTAATGTATGTACCAAATTTGAACAAAATCCGTCCATGCATAACTGAGATCCGGGTCCGGAATGGTGAAAATGTGCGATTTTGATGCATTTTCGGCCTTAAAATGGCCGCTATTCGGCTATCGTTAATCGGATCATGAAAAAAATGCATGTGCATATGTCCCATATAATGTGTGATGTATGAGTGAAGTTTGAACTTAATCGGTCCATGCATGTTCGAGATACAGGTGATCACGGACGCACGGACGGACGCACACAGGGCAAAACATAAGTCCCCGTTTTCGGACTGCGTCCGAACGGGGACTAAAAATGGATTTTTGAAAATAAAGGCCAGGAGAAAAGGACAAAAAAATCAAAGCCATTTTTAAAATCGAAATAAAAACCCAGTCATTTTCAAAACTGAAATGAAAATGCAATTTTAAAAGTAAAGTGTAATGTAAATCTATTTTCAAAAATAAAAATAAGTTTTCGAAAATGTATCTATTTTTAAAGTGCAGTGAAATTACAAACGTATAAAATGGATTTCAAATATGTAATTTTCACTTATGCTTTTAAGTTTTATGTTAATTTTAATTGTGAAATCGACAAAATAAAATGTAAACAGAAATGTGAATTATGAATACGTAAAATACGAAGAAAAAAAAGTACTTTTCAAAAAGCATGGCCCCTGACCTTTCTCGGTTGTCGTATACACCTGCTCAACTCCACGTTGAAAGTTTTTCCGCGAATATTAATTAGACCACTGGAAATGCTATTTGTGTCAACTGATTGAATCCAACACTGTTCACTGTTTTAAATACGGTTTTAAAGCGGATGGGTCACCTGCGCACACTCGGGAATAGCGTCCTAAGCGACTATTACAACGCATGTCAAACGCAAAGGCTAATGGGTAGACGCGTGCTTGTAAACAAAGACATGCTATGGCCGTCGACGTAGGGGGCGACTCCCCCGCCTTATCAAGGAAAGCACAGTCACAGTCACCAAGAACACATTTACAATAGTCTGCCATGATTAATTCAAGTTTCTTAAAATTAAATACAAAAATAAATTGTTCGACGATGAAATATTATATTGACAAAATCAGAAGGAACGAACGAATATTTTCATATATATGCAACCGGCAACTCCAAGGTACTGATCATCAGTTAGTTATCGGGTTTATGGGTATCACATTTCTTTTACCTGTTGGTTGGTTTTATCGTCAATATGTGGCATTGATTACGACGAGAACCATAATGGGCGACGCGCATCAAAGTATATTCTCCGATCCCATCCCACCCCACCCGAGGGAACCCAAGCTTCAGTTCTCCGTCGTACGGTGGCTGCGTATACCACGTCAGCATCTACGGTGAAGCAATTTCGCTAACTGTCCCAACTTTGGTTGTTTGCCCAAACAAAATAAATCAGAAGCCAGCGACTGTGCCAACTTTGACAATTCATTTTCACGAGGCGTCGCTCTATTGTCACCCGGTGGGGGGGG